AGGAAACAATGTTCAGTGACTCAGTTCCTCGTCTAGAAGGAGGCAACTACACACCTTGGAGAATTAAATATCTCAATAGATGGGAAGCATTCTGAACAGCACCTAGCTCTCTATATATGCCGTACGTATACACATGCCAGCTACCATTATTTTTTACTATAGTGGAGACCCAGAAACACCAACCTATAGAAAACTCCACCAAAGACTTCAAAGTTCTGATATTCTTATGATTTTCTTCTAGAATGGCACTGAACATTCCCAGAAAGATCAAGCAATAACCACCCTCTCTCACTTATGATATGGATACAATGGTTTCTTTTTCCTGACTTGTTTTTTCCCAAGCAGCACTTTCTCTCAGAAGCTGGCATGACATCATGGTACATGATACATGATACATGATGTCATTACACAAATTTGAAGGTCCTCCCAAAGCAGTTCAACACCTCCCCTCAGCCAAGGACAAGAGGCCATCAGTGTATGGCCATGTCATCAAACTGCCCACCGCTACATCTGCAACACCGCCCTCAATGGTCTGGAGCTGGAGCCTTCTCCTAACGCCTGGTCTGCCCTCTGAGACTTCCGCTGAGGACTGAAGTGAAACCCTCAGCCGCCCCGGAAACGTACTGAACTGTACAACCACGCAATTCTCCTCGGGTCAGGTTACCTTGACACAGTCCATGCCCCTGCACGCACTTGCCCTGCATGTGGCACCAAACCGCAAGATGCCATCTGACTTCAGAGACCACTGTTTAAGGAGCCACTCCATCTCCTCCAACTACCAGTCTTCTCCAATGTAGCTGCTGCCTTAGCAAGAATTAGTGCCCGTGACCTATTGGACCAGAAGTGTGAAAGCCTGCCCTGGAGCCAAAGTTTTACTTTACACCACACTTTAATGCTCGAAGCTGATGACAAAGGCTGTGATTTACTCCTCCATTCCTCCAGCACTGTTTCCATCAGTAACTAATTGTTCCCCCAAGCAGCCCTGCACTGCTAAGGAAACTGGAAGGGTCGGTGCCAGACAGGTTGGGATTCAGCCAGTGCTTGTGGTAACAAATAGACAACGTGGTCCTTTCCCAACGATCAAGGTAGGCATGACTGGTATATTTAAAAGGTTCAATGACAGAAATTATGAGCAAACCAGTCTTCAAACTCACATTCTTTGCTTCCTCATTGAAAAAGTAGTGATGGCATTAGAGTCGGTTTTAATGGAATCAAGTTGGTTGCTGTTAGGTGTCCCTAGAACCTCACTAGCGTGGTCTGAGGACCAGCCACTGCTGCCTCCCCTTGGGGCTTGTTAGGAATGCAGAAGCTTGCCTGCCTCCCTCCACCCGGGGACCAGGTTCTGTTTTCTGATAGGTTCTCCAGATAACTGACATTCCCATGAATGTTTATGAAGCCATGGTCTAGAAGAGAAAGTTTTATACGAGAACCACTTTTTTCCTGAATTTGTCTACCCCTCATTCACATTCAGATGCTGTTAGGCCATTGTAGACTTTGTAAGAGCCTTGCATGTCAGACACAGTTGGAAATGCAGGTGATCTCAGTCACCTGGCAGGAGCAGCAACAGCTGCTGACATCTTCCGAATGCTTCCCAAGCAACAAGCACTATTCTAAAATGTTCATATTAACTTCTTTGTTACAACAACCCTGTGAGGCAGGCGATAACTATTGTCACAGGAGGCACTGAGAGACTAAGTAACAAGGCCGAGATAAGAAGTTGCTGAGCCAAGACTCGAACCCAGGCAACCTGGTTCCAGAGCCCACGTGTTAACCCCTGAGCTCTGACTCCTTTTAGTTCCCACTCTCCCGCAGGAATGTGCTCGGTGGGAGATGGTTTCGTGTAGGTGTGACTAGGACATCGGCTGCTGATCAGGGGAATGCCAGCTCGTCATAGGGCCTCTGGAAAAACTGCTTAACGTTGCTGTGGGCTTCTCTCTGGATTCAGAGGAGACTGTCTTTAAGTCTAGCACGAGGCCCATCACTTTCGGGACATTAAAAAAAATGCCCCTGGGCCGCCCACTCATTCCTGTACTCCAGTGGGGACACGCAGAACGGTGCCCATCCATGTTTGCTGGAATGCTGGGGCCCTTCGCTGATACCCGGGGGGCCCAAGCAGCTGTTTTCCCAGCCAGCCCCCACCCCAGCATCTTTGATGTTAATGAATTTATCTACCGGAGGTTAAAATAGCAATTTGGTAGACAAAGACTACCATCGTTTAAAAATAAAGGACTGAAAACCCCTGATGTTGAGACTTGGCAGACTAGATACCGGAGGTTTTCTGGAGAAGTTATCATAAGTGCTGTGCGTCTATAAACTGGAAAATGTGTAGCAATGATGGGAACGTTTTTTGGCTTGTAGTACTATTTTTTTCCTGCTCTCCCGTACTCTCCTAAAAACAGGATTCAATATATATTGTTCACAGGTATTTGTTCAAATTCACATTTAAAAATTTTGTTTTGTAGAGTCTCAGTTAAAGATAATTGATGCAGTATTCTAAAATTCATTTCTAACAGAACATACTTGACTATTCTTTTAAAAACTTAAACGATTACATTTGACTTTCAAAGGATCTGGCCTGTCAGATTCACATGCCATAAAGACTTAATATCACGGGATCAGGGTGGGGACAGAACACATTCTAAATACACGCAGACCCTTTCATAAAAGCGTTTCCGTAATGACAAGAATACCATCATCCAAATGTCAGGGTTATAAGCAGCCTACGGACAAAACTCCTACAAATCAGCAAGAAGAGACAGGGTCCAGCAACAACAATGAAGACAGGCCGAGGAGATGATAAACAAGTCACTGACAAAGAAATACAGACCACCTATCAACACGGGAAAGGTGCTCACACTCCCTGGAGAGAGGGGGATGTGCGTGAGATACCCTTCTCCTCCACCTGAAAAAGAAGCTTACAGACTGAATGTCCAGGGGTAGAAGGGCATGTGGCAGGAGGCTTTTCAGACACTCCCGACGCGAGTGTAAATTTGTGCAGTGTTTTTGGAGAGGAATAGGATCAATTTCAAGTCACGTCCTTCTCCCCTGAGCCTTTCGCTTGCAGGAATTTTCTTACGAAGGCGTTCCTGCAGGCATATGTAAGGTACATCTGTGACGGTTCAATGCAGCGTTGTGTAAACCAGGAAAGTCCAGACTGGGGCAAGGGCGGGCAGGGCCGGCAGAGGCACGGTGGGGCACGGACAACCCGAACGTCCAGTGCGTGAGGTGGCAAAATAAAACACAGTGCATCCATAAAACAGAGTCTAGGCAGCCATTTAAAAGTTACCACCTTGCATCAATTCTAAGATACCACAGACTGTAATCCCAGTATTACAGACAGTAAAATGTGAAAAAAAAAGGGCTTGTGGCCACTGGGAGATGCCATCAATGATAAGATGCCCCAGAGATGCTGAGGAGTAGAACAAAAAGAGTGCCTTAGACCAGAGATACGGATCTCAGTTTCAGCTGTTCTCCTGAGCAGAAGTATGTAATAATAACCAGTGTGGCAGGAAAGGCTTCAATGATGATAAAGCAACTGAAGGGCGAACATATCCAAGGAGCGGAGCTCAACTCATGGGGTAGGTGGATGGGCACAGAACATCTTTGTTGAATTCTTTAGAAGGAACCTATGCTACTTCTGAAAACAATTCAACAATAAAAACACTGCCGAAGCAGAAACGAGGAGAGGTATCATCAGAGCGCCATGAGAAGAGGAATCCTGCCTCACTGTGCCCACTTGCCACAGAGTGCGCTTTCCTCGCCTTGTGGCGTCTGCCTGCCTGCGGGGACAGAGGCAGCAGTGACGGCCGTGGTAATTACCCCACTCCCTGTTCCTGCCCCACCTGCCCCCTCCCAGTCCTCCCAGCAACCCACCACGATGAGGTCATCGTCCCTGAGTCACGCAGCTGCCCTGGGCAGTTCTGGATGCCAGACCCCGCCTGCCTGGCCCCAGAGCCTGCACGCTTTCCATTTCTGGGCTACGGTCATCGCCGTCTGTTTCTTTATGTACCTGCCCTTTAGCCTTTGTTATTCTGTTCCCTTTTATGGTATTCCCAAGGATTTTTCTTATGCAACATGGGTGTTATGTTCCTTCCAAGCTGAAAAGCTAATTTATAAAATCGCTTGAAAGTTGCATTCGTTAACTAAATTAACAAAGAGTTGATGCATTTCCTCTTTTCTAGCAATTCCTCCCGTTTTGACCATTCTGAGAATTTGCTCATTATAAACTCGTTCTCTTTACTGTGAATGCAGTTTCCTCATTTTAACAGATTGACTTTATAGTCTGAGACAAAACGGACTACCAAACACGGTTGCGGGCTCTCCTTTGATAAGCAGTGAGTGGCCCAAGAGAAAGAAGCAACTGGTGCTGGCCCCAAGAGCCCCCAAGGAGCCCCCCCTGTGGACCAGCCGGCACGCTCCAGCCCCTCCCGCACGAGGAGAGGATGAAACCCGGAGCTTAGCCTGCTGTGTTTTCTCCCTCGGACCATTGGGTTAACCCCAGATCTAAAACTTGAGAGGAAAGGAGATCTGCTCAGATGTGTTTTCCCTTACTTCCAACTCTCTTCCTTTATGGTCCTCACCCCTTTCTTCTCTTTCTCACCAAGAGACTGACATACCAATTTGAAGATATTTTTTATAGTCTCTAATACTTTGTGCTGTAAGTGGAAACTGTTAGAAATGAGGAGAATTGTAAGAAAAAAGAAGCATCAGGAAATACAGAGTCGAAAGACCTCGGCCACCAACTGCTACGCTGCCCCGTGCCTCTCTGGGTCCTGCGTCGCTCTCTGGGCAGGGGAGTGGGGGTCTGCACTGGTGAAGTGGTGGAGGTGAACCAGGAGTCGGACGGCAATGCCGTGCGGCTGGTCCCCTCCTTCTACACAGACACGTCTGGTGAAAGCAACACGTCGGCAGCGAGTAGAAGAGTCGTCGGGCTCCTAAGGGGGTGGGAGGAACCCTAACCCCAGGGGCTCCCGCAGAAGGAGCAGCAGGAGGCAGCTCACCTGAATCTTTCATGGGGCAGAGGGCGCACTGCATGCCCCAGGCCTCGCCGTACAGACAGCAGCACTCTGTGTACGTGGTCTGCTTGCTGACCAGGGGCCGGCTGCACACGTAGTCCTCGCTCAGGTGCTCCCAGCACAGGTCTTGGTAGACGTCGGTTTCTTCGACTTGTTCTGGAAGGGAAGACGCGGTTCCGTGACGACTGCACCGTTATTCCTGCTGCATAAACACTGCCGTGGAAGCCAGCGAGGCTCCAGGTTTCCAGTCCCTGTTTCTAAGAGCGACTCCCAAGTAAAAGTCTGATCCGTGGTCTTTTCACGGATCAAACCTCTGTCATGTCCAATGGGGTGTCACTTTTGTCAGCTGAAGTTCCGCCTGCTCATCATGTTCCGATGACACCCTTCCCTCTCTGGCTCCCATCCCTGCACAACACACCCACTCTCCTGCCTGTCCATCACAGTCCTGGTGGACTTCCCATTCTTCCAATCTCAGCTTTTTCACATTTAGTTCTCTGTCAAATCCTCCCTCGCCCTTCTACACAATAGTCTTTAAATTCAGGTTTTCTGACCCATCTCATCTGCGAAAGCCTGGGACTAGAGACACTTCATCCCGAAGTCTTCCATCCTAGCCTTTCTACCTTTAGCGGATTTTGTCCAAAGTAGCCCCCTGGTGTGGTGATGGACCAATCAATTCTACCAACTACCAGGGGCAAACCAGCTCTCCAGGGATGAACAGGGATTCCTACCCCAGGACTTCAGGGCTCTCCATCTCCTCATCCAGCTCCGCCCTCCATGCCACCCAGCTCCACCTACGTCCTCCAGTGCAATCTGGGAAACAAAACTGTCTTCCCCTGAGCCTGCGCTTCCCCAGCTGCCTTTGAAGTTAAGTGTTGCTCAGCCCTCAGGTATGGAACCACAGTTATCTGCTCGGCCGCTCCACATTCTGTTGTCCATGATATGAGTGTATTCAGGGCAGTAAATCCCCAAGGTGCACACATACGCATTTGATGATTTCTCTGAGCGTCTCATTCTAATTATTTCAAAAACACCCGTGGAATCATTTTTTTCTCTCTTTTTCCGATAGCTTACATTTCAGTCCAAAGGAAAACATTACAGCATCTATTTGGACACAGGCTTGCACCTCATATCCAAACATACCGTGCGATCCCGATGGTCGTATGCATCTTTTTTCTGAAGCATCTAGGACCATGGGGTGGGTGCAGAAGCAGTTATAGGAGCCTTCTGTATTGATGCACTGGCCATCGATACAGCTGCTGGGGTCTTGGCACTCATCCAAATCTGCAGAGACAAGAAAAACTGTTGAAGACAACCAGTCATCACTTGCACCTCATGCACTTACCGAACTTTACCCACGGCTACATTAAGTCAGGTTTCCAGGGGCGCCCAGAATTTCATGAACTACACGTCATTACCCAAAGGAGAACAGTCTGATGGTAAACCTGTGAAGCTGTATTGATGGGGAAAATGACACTGTCAGGCTGATGCTGGCCTTCAATAAAGAAAGAAAACAGTTGGCAACAGGATGCGCTCAGAAATGTAAGATAATATGCTCTTTATGATAGTATGAAAGTCATTTCCTTTTGCTACGTTTTTCTGCCAGGTGTACATGGTTTTCTGCTTAAGCATTAACGTCTGGGTCGGTATTTAACAATGACTTTCACCTGCACTGCGCGAGGGATGAAATAGGAGGCTCCCCAGGCCCAGCAAACACTTCCCTTCAACCAGTGGCCTGAATTATAATTCCACATTGAACATTAACTCTTTGATATCCACTCCAATAGTCGTATGGAGGCTTTCTATTTTCTTAAATCTCACTCGCAAAAAAAATCCATAAACCATTTACGGATCTTTTCAACTCGTGATTCAGATGCAAACAATTGCTCTAGTATTACACGGCGTTACTTATTTTTTCCACCAGTTTATTTTCACAGCACCCCATGCCCCCCTCCAACTCACCGAAGCACTGCAGTTTGACGGGGTCGTAGTATGTCCCCTGCTTACAGTAGCATTCATAACCAGGCTGGGTGTTCAAACAGTAGCCATTCTTGCAGATTTCTTGTCCAAAAAGTAGACACTCGTCCGCATCTACCGGGGCAAAACGGAGCGACGGAACAAAGAGTTGGCTCCAGTCTTTCAGTTAAGCAGAAGCTTCACACTACATTTTATAATATTTATATTCTAAAGATTCTTAAAGATACAGCAACACAAAATTCTTAAAGTTGGGACTAATCCACAGAGGTGGAAACATAATCAGGTTTGTCTGTGCTATTTAAGAAACAAGGTCCCAAACAGTACGGGGGAAGATGTATTTGTTAATGTGGCTTCTGGGATGCTCCCTTGTAGTTGATGAAAGTCTATAAAATTCTACAATGGCACAGCAACATTCTTTGAAGGAAATGCCTTTTAAGAGAGGTGCCTTTCTTTAAGTGCACATTTAGGCCCATGAACTAGTTGGGGATGAAAAACTCCTGAGAAGAGTTGGATGGACTTGGATGATAGTCTTCGTTGGTGATAATGATAAGCTCAGGAAGGCACAGTTGCTAAGGGTGTTGGCAGACCACGCCTGCACAGCACAATGCAGTGCTCGGTGTGCGCCACGGTAAACTGGAGATGCTGGCAACCTCTACCTGATAGGACCAGAAGGATTCAGTGATTTAACAATCCATGCAGAGACCGCAGTATACTTTCAAAAGGTGTTACCTGTTATTTTTATTGCTGTTATTGTTCTGTTACCATCAGTTCTCACATTTTAGAGCCCCTGCCCTCCAGTCCTGGTTTTAAAAACCGGAGATTCCACAGATGAATTGCTCCAAGTTAGACAGCTGGAAAATGGCAAGGCCAAGTCCACATACGTGGCTGTCTGGATCTGAATCTAATGTTCTTCCAGCCACTCACAGTGCTGCTAAGACAGGGAGAGGAGGAACTGCTTTTCCTACAGAAGAGGGGGACGACCTTGTGGTGAATCAAGGCTTCATCCCACAACATAAAATGGGAGGTAACTACATCCCTGCAAAAACGTAATACGTAATATTTGTGAACATGAAAAACCATTAAATACATATCACCAACCAACTCTTTGTTATTTGGTTGGACCAAATCATAATAACTATATTTAAAAACACAAAGGGAATTTCTTATCCAGCTACTGAATTATGGCATATGATTAAAACACTATTTTTCCAAAGAAAGTGAATAAAAAAATGTTTTTAGTCTGTTTTCCATCACTTAGCAGTTTTTAATATTACATTTTACAGAAAAAAATCATTTTGTGTATAAAGGTCTTAATATTTTCATTGTGGGAATGTCAAAAGTGAGTGGTTAATGAGGAGATATTCACACATGTGGCTTAAATTCCACCAAAATAAAAAGGCTGCATGTTTGTTTTAGAATTACAGACTAATAGCACTGAATATATAAAACACATCTACTTTTGCTTTCTTCTTTTCCATTCCTTATTACGAATCCGTGGCCATTAGTAAAAGGTCCTAACAACAGTAAGATGAGTTCTAACAAAGCAAGAATTTTGGCTCTGTAGATGACTATTAAAGACTATGATGACCAAATTCATACAGTCTCAACAACATAAGACTTCTCATATCCTTCTGGAATAGGAAAATAATTTATTAAGGACAGCACTCGATGTTGGGTACTTTTCCATATACCATCTCATTTAATTCTCACGGTAACCTTTGAGTCATTACTCCTGTCTCAAAGATGGAACCTCAGATCACGTGATGTCCCTCCATCAGACAGCCCAGCAGGGGTGCCAGACCCATTTTCGCCGGGGCCCACATCAGCCTCCCGGTTGCCTTCGAAGGGCCGAATGTAATGTTAGGACTGTGTAAATGTAACGACTCCCTAACTAGGGGCAAGGAGCTTGGCACTGCTGCCGGGTAGAAACAAGGTGCCGAGCTGGATAAAACAAGGTGGAGGGCCCGATTTGGTCCTCAGGCCTTGTGTTTGGCCCCTGTGGCCTAAGGATTCCAATTCCCCAGCCACACACAGCTCCAGAGTCCGAGGGGGCTTTCTCCCAGTGGTACAATAAAGGCTTTGTAATCCCTTCCCACGGCTCAGAAGAGCTCGCATGCTGCCTAACCCAGCCATGCCTTGCTTGAGTGTCTCATATGCACACACGTGGCCAGTCCATTTCTGCTCGAGTCTGACCTTTATAGTCGTCGCCACCAGCTTCGTAAGAGGACTCTCCGGCGGGGACAAAACCTTTCCCTCTAGGACACATTTCAGTGAATTCAGCTGATTTCAGGAAAGGCAGGGGAAAAAAAGAAAGACGTTAGAAAAAAGAAAAAACATCAACATCCTACATGAATGTGTATTTTAAATTCGGTTTTGCTTTTTCAAGACTAAGTACCTTGAAAACAAATTTTGCAATCCATCCTACTTCACACATATTTTATCTCCCCGTGTTTTACTTAGTGGTGTGACTTATTTCTCCTTCACTGTGGTCACTAGTATTTTCCAGTGTTAATAAGAATCCATCACGCAAAATCTTAGCTTCAACCTATAATCTCTAGGTATCAATAACACTGTATTATTGTTATAAAAAGGTTGGTTTTAATTTTTTTTAAAAATGGGGTATAACTGAATTATCCTCTTGCCAAAATACAGTACAGAATCTCACTGTACCAGTGTTTTCAGTGATGGAAAGAACTTTAAGAATTCACGCTGAGGTGGGACGAAGGTGATTTTCCCCCGAGCTGAATGGAAGTCACTATAAGGTAACCTCACTTCAGTGTGCGTATGGCAGCCGCTAGGGACCATCCGCATCTCAAAGCTTCCTCGGAGTAACCAGAATGAGAACATTCCAGCCCCCCAGGACCACACCCGAGGTGAGAGCACCGCTGGGCTGACTCGTACCTGTCCCCAGGACCGGGCAGGGGTAGATCTCGCAGTTGTCCCCCCAACCAGCGCCGGAGGTGCAGCAGCACTCCTGTTTGGTGACATTGGGGGCCAGCACGTTGTCACAGAGACTGGCGTCGTTGAGGTTGTAGTAGCACTCCTTCTTTTCTTCTTTGGGCTGCTCCACCTCGACATCTAAACAGAGTGGACAGAGGAAAAGGGGTGTTAAGGGGACACGTCAGATTTATCGGTCTCGCAGCAGAGTGGAAGACACGGTGGTAAAGCAGACGGGATGTGACGGGGGCATTGAACGTGCCGACAGCCGCTTTCCGCTTTCGTGCGGGGCTCTCCCACGATGAGATAAAAATGCACTCGGATCCTGAATGTTGGTGGATTTCTAACACCCACCCCCGGCCCCCGCCCAGCGAGTGCAAGTCTGTCCAAATCATTTCGTTTACGTTAACCAAACGTAAATTTGGTTAATTTACTTTATTCTTGTAAATTTGGCTGTGAGTCGAGTTTCCATACTTGCTTTCTTGCCAAACATAGGGCCGTTCTTTACTGAACTATAACACCTACTTAAATCAACGAACGTTTTTCCCAGCACCTGACCGGAGATGTGGGGCCACACAAGATATATTACCCTTAGATGGGTATCTGAACCCACCATGCCCCCGACAGAGCCAAGCAGGAGATGGTAGCCAGAAAAAAAAAACACTGTAGTAACCTGGAGTCTACAAAATCACCTTTCATTACTGAAAATCTAACTACTTAAACTGCTGCAAATATAAGGCTTTGAACGGAATAATGAGGGTTAGGTAAGCCTCAAGGCAGAAGTTCAAGGCTGGGTTCCAGTCCTGGCTCCAGTGCATCCTAGAGGGAAACACCTTCTCACAGACTCAGTTTCACCCTCTGTGATAAAGGACAAACAAGGCGACGTGACGGGATACAGGCGATGGGGACACAGTGCACCTGTTTGAGACGATACCAAGCAGGCCATCCTCGCAGGGTGGGGTCTATGAAAAGTGTGTGCTTTTAAGAAACGAGCAATATTTTGTGACTAAACGGCAAGTAATCTAACCCCTTCCCTACCACAGGCCAGGAAGTTCGAATTACTGCCTATGGTCCAGTTAGAATTTACTCAGTTTTTAGTTGATGCTATATCAAATAACAAGCTGACTACGACCATCACAGCTGTTTAGATGAATTCTAATGAAGTTTTCTTCAGGAGAACAGCACTGTTTCCAGAGTCTTGGACCCAAAGACACTGGAGGGACAGAGGGAAATGCTGACCAGTGAGGCTGAGACCTGAGTGTCAACACCATTTTTTGAAGTTGCTGGATAATGACATGAGGAAAATATAACGAGTTATGTTCACAATAGTTGTCTATGTATTTCTTTTGGCAGCATCGGGTTGGCTGTGGAAACTTGATTAACATAGCAAATAGCAAAGGTGTTTTAACAACCTAAGTTCATAGAATTCTCAGAAAAACGAGTGCGCTTTCTCTCCTCTCTGGGCATGAGCACCAAGCACGGCCGCAAACAGCCAGCCATGCTCACACCCGCGCTGCTCTCAGGACCCGGGGAACCCGAGAGACCCCCGCACGCTCGAGTCCGGCTCCCTCTCAGACCCCGCTGTCTTTGACAGACTGCAGCTTGGACTCTAAGTCAGTGTTAATAGCTGATGACAAATTCAAACCTAAAATAAGTATCCAGGAAGAAAAAAACAAAATGCTGATTCCTAAGCAGCAGCATATGAAGCGGTTTTAAATCATTTCCTTGTGTGTGAAGCTGATGGAACCGGCCACACCCCTCCTCTCCCCCAGGCCTCGCCTGCAGAGAGGAGAGCGCAGGGCCCCCAACCAGCCGCAGGGACCCCCGCCAGCTCACTCCCCTCGGGAGGGGCTCCACGCCCTCGCACGTGGAGTCATTCGGGGAAGCTGAGGGGAGGTATTTTAAATGATTATTAAATCAATCATGAACCCTGTGGAATATTTCATAAACATTCCCCCAACACCTGTGAGTCAACTGACACCCTATTTCTATTAACAACTCAGCTCAATTATTTTATACAGTTGGCCTAAAAATGCAGCCAGCTATTAATGAATGTATTTAGAAGTATAAATCAAGTCAGCAACACAACCAGTTTTGCCAGTCAAGTTTACAGTCTGTGCTAATAGATGGCTCAATAACCGTTTTTTCCCCCTTGTGTACAAAGTTGTGGGAATGTCATGGTGTTTATTACAAAATGGAATACAATACCGTAGTCATTGAAAACTGCTGTATACATAGGTAATCAAACTATAGGCTTCTGAGTGAAAGCATTCAAAAATCATATCTATATTAAACACCGCTTTCTACAATGTTTGTTATACCCACAGCACAGAAACTAAGACATAAAATTATCTTTTTTCCTCCCCTTTCTTTAGAAGGAAATCCACAGGTTATTGCGAGGGAAACAATCAATAATATCACTGTATTATTCTGGTTTCACATTGGTTGTCTCAAGTTCTCCTTTGATTTTTCTCTCCAAGCAGTTTGAAAGTTCAATGTTTACACAGCTGAAGTTGAGAGTTAGTCCGGCCCTCATCTACGTTTGGAAAGGGAAGCAAATTCTTTTTCAAAAACTGGTCCACAAAGGTCATTCTCTGAAAACCTACAATTTCCTATCTCTCTAACCTTTAAATCATTAACTTCCTAGAGCATTTTTCCACTGGGGGAACATTCTGATCCGTAAACACGTGTGTGTGTGATTCCTTTGAAGAATCTCTGTATGAGTTTGGGAAGCTGCTACCAGGGGAGAAATGTTTCCATCGGAAAATACTTTTAAAAGATCAATGGTTACGAAAGGTGCCAGACATGAAAAAGAATGACTTCTTCTTAAATACATTATGAATAAGTTAGCTGTGTTACATATTGTACGTCACGGACTTTGAAGAAATATATCACTTCTCCTCCAGTATTTTCAGATTTGAATTTTCAATCTGTATCAAGAAGTTGGCTTAACATCTGTATCTAAACAGCAATTTGTGAATTTTAATCCGGTGGGTATGACTGACAATAAGTTTAGTTTTTGGATCTTTTCCATGTGTACTTTTTGGGGAAGAAACTTTCACGGAGGAACTCCATGAGACACATGGTGCAGGTGATAAAGTATCCTCACCTTCCGAAGAGAGAGTCTAGCTTGGGTCCAAAGACCCAGGGTTTAGCACTTTCTTAGCCTTATTTTAAGAAGCTCAGCTTCTTAGCATCACAACTAGCATGAGATTGTTTTGCTTTGGCTTTTTCTTTCTTTTTTCATCTTTGAGACAAACAGGGAAGGGGCAGCAGACAATTATTGCAGGTGTGGATTCAACTGCAATGCCACTGAGCGTGAGTGGGTGCCCTTGCTCTGAATAGAAAGGCGTGGGTTGGAGCTGTAGGTGCCACTTTTGGAGTTCCTAGAAGCTTCTAGAAGCTCCTCTGTCTGGTTCATCAGACAGAAGAGGGTGTGGTCGCTCACTTACAGGATTTAGTCTTTACCCAAGTGTGTCCAATTTAGCTTTGCTGTTGGGGTGAGGAAATCTGGAACATTTTTTGGTTAAAGTGGACCTGAACACTCTAGGTGGACCTTGTCCTTGCCTTCACGTTCCGTCTGCAGTGTGTTCTGAAGGCCTTTCTGAGCTAACCCCCTGGGACAGTCAGGGTTATGACGGTGGCCAAAGAGGAACACCACAACCATGCGAGAGTAAATAAACAGTGTCCGCAAATGAAACCCCTGCCTGCCACTGTCTTGAAAAACACACCATCTCGGGAAACTCTGCGACTGCAGTGATCATGTTCAGTAAGTTCCTTTCAACAGAATTATTCAGGATGCTTTTCTCTCTTTTTTATTTTTAAAATCACCACAGGCATGTTTTTATGAGAAAAGGAATTCTAGTGTAACATTCCATGGAGGAGTAACAGAGAAGTTGGCAATTCTTGTATTCCTTTTATTCCCCCTAGTTTCCTAATTCAAGGACTTGGAAGATGAGACACGTGTACGTGTGTATGTGTAAGTGCAATTCAAGAGAAGCCATCAGTGAGTTTCAGAGAATAAACACGGACCATAGGAATGGACTGAAGATGAACGGATGCAAAGAAAAAGGAAGATAGGTGGTAACCTCAGGTGGTAAAAGACATGAAAGAAGTCAAAATAAAGGTTAGAAAGCAAAATACAAGAGAAAAAAATACTTCGAAAAACATTTCTCCACACAGATACCCTCTTTAAAGAAATGAATTAGGTGGTGCTGAGAGAATAAGTCCCAAGCACCTAAGCCACACTGTGGAAGGATGGGGCGAGCGAGGCAATCATGGCAGGCTCCCTGGAGGAGTTGACAGTTGAGCCATGTTCTTGAAAAATAAAATTTAAAGAGATTGGCCAGCAAATAAGATGTGATGGGGCGAGGAGGAGTAAAAAGCACAAGTGCACTTAGCTCTGTGTGGGTAGAGTGGAGTGAAGGAATGCTGGGTCTGCAGAGGGAGCCACAGGAGGACTGGGGGCCCGAGGGAGAGGCAGGAATGCACTGACACGTGAGCAGGTGAGAGCTGCCTTTCTGACCTAGGTGCCGGGCTTGAAGACAACGCCAGTCCTCCCGGGAGGCCTCTGGGCCCCACACCTCCAAGGCAGGCAACAGTTACTTGCTGGATAGAGTGAAGGCTGTTTTGTTCTTGGTTTTCTGGGGAAGGAGTTAGAAGAGAACGGGAGAAGTGGTTCTGGAATAGGACTAAACAGGGGAGAAGGCGAGGGGAGCCAGTCTGTGACTTAGGGAAGTATTAGCAGAGACTGGAAATGCGAGGGCAGGAAAAGCGGGCAGGGATGGGTAAGAGAAGAGGCTTCTGGGAGCAGGATAAGGCCCTGCCGAGAGAGAAGAATGGAAAGACACCTCAGTATGGGGGGAGCGGGAAGCGCCTGTGGAGACGAGACGTGAGCAGACGTCACAGCAACACTGGCCCCATCACAGACGCGCGCGCATCGAGGGCGCGCGCATCGTGGGCGCGCGCATCGTGAGCGCCAGTGAAGAGGACCACGAAACTAAAGCCACGTTGGAAGGCACGTGTAAAATGTTCGGAAACATTTAAAAGAAAATGTACAAACTCTTCCTCTTGAGACTTTTTTTACAGCAAATTCTAAGATACAACATGCATTTCTAATGCAAAAGTGTACGTGTCTCTTG